CCCCAAAACCCCAAAACCCCAAAACCCCGAGATTTTAGACATTGAAGTAATATAAGAATTTAGAACTTATTTCTAATTTATAAAACATAAGCATATTAGTTTAGTTATCTATTCATTAATAGTCATTAAGCATGTTCGATGATGCGAAGACATTGGTGCTTCTGAAAAAATCTTCGCCACCCACATTTTGTTACAATCCCTCTGCAATTCTAATTTATTAATTGGCCATTTAATCTAGATTTAAGTTCATATTTTGGATGTTGCTCGTAATTTGATTGAGATTTTTTGAAACGCTATTCAAATCCTCATACTAGTAATTTTTTGTTGTTCCATTTCTATCAGAACTATAGTTGAGCTTCTAACCCGGACTTGGCTGAACGTCATTTGGATGAATTGTGGTAACTGGCTCAATGAATTATGGTTTCTAGTGAATATATTAACAAAATATGTTAACTTACGAATGATAGATCATTGTCTTTGATATAGTTCAAGACTTCAAACATTTTATCCTCGCTCAAAGCAATTCTCTGAGTTAAAAGCATAAGAGTTTAGTTTACCAACTCAATCTCAGATACTATTTTGTGTAGTGTTTCCTTTACCTCTGGCTTTAAGGAATTGTAAGTTTGAGCTTTACTAATTTCTGGTTAGGGCTTCAGTTAAGCTGCCAATGCTTATTCTCTTTTTTATGCTGCTATTGATTTTGATGGTGAATAAGTCTAGGTTCTCTTTTTATTGCCTAGCCTAGAGTTATTTTCTTTTGTTTTATCTTCAGTTGGAATTTTGTCGAACTTTTCTTTATCAGTCACGAATACTTCAGTGGTTACTTTGCCTTATAAGCCATAAAGTATCTCCGTTTAGAGAGGGTTGAGGCCTGATTTCCAAACCTGTATCACAGCATCTTTACCTCCAGTTACAAAGAAATCTCCTGCTTGTGAAAAAGTACCGCTTGAAGTTGCACCTTCATGGCCTATCAAAGTATATAGAATATGACCTTTTCTTAGATCCCATATCTTTAGATTTCCATCATTAGAAGTAGATAGTAGATATTGACCACTTGGGTGGAATGCTATTGAATTAATTAAATCATTGTGAGCATCGTAGTGCTACAATAACCTGTGTGATCTCACATCGAATATCTTGATTTTCTTATCAGATCCACAAGAAGCCAAGCAAGTACCATCTGGATGAAATTTTACATCTGAAACCATGCCAGTATGGTCATTGAATGAATGAATAAGAGAAGCATTTTAATTGACATCCCAAAGTTTTACAGTCTTATCGTCACTCGCAGATGCAATCAATCTTGAGTCGAAAGAAAACTAAGCCTTTCTAACCCAGTTAGTGTGGCCCTTTAAAGTAGAGCTGAATTTCTTGTCTGCAACTTACCAAATCTAAATTGATTTTAACTAAATAATGAAGTACCTTAACAGTCTTATCATCTGAAGCAGATAGGAGCAAGGAACCGTCACAGTTGAATTGAATACTTTTAACTGGAGCTGAATGACCCTTCAAAATATAAGAAAATGCCTCACTATCCAGATATTATAAATTTGAGGATTTATACTTACGCATTATTGTTCCAAAGTCTGACAGTGCTATCTTTTGAAGCCGAAGCTAGGTGAGTACCTGTTGGACTTATAGCCACATCGTATACAGCGCCTTTGTGTCCCAAGAATTTTTAAGGTCTTGAATTAGGCCTTAGACTCCATGTCATAATCATGCCATCTGTAGAGGCCGATACTACTTGCTTGAGATTAGGGTTGAAAATAACTTGTGTGATCTTATCCTTATGGCCCTTGAATGATTTTAAAAGGCAAGGAGTATTCTCATCCTGCTCAATGAGTTCGTTTTTCATTTCTGTGTTAGTTTTCAACATATTTGTAAATTTGAATTTTAATTCTTTCTCTACTATCGAATTAATTCTAGAGATAATTTCCTTTAGGGGTTTTGGGGTTTTGGGGTTTTGGGGTTTTGGGG